AAAAATTAAAACTATAAACCTTTTGAAAACTGCTCAGTGCTGCTTTGGGATCATCCTCCTTCAAGGCTTTGGAATTGTAATACTGATTCTCCAAATCTACATTTGGTTCAGAGTTGCTGTCTTCAGAATATTCCTGTATTTTAAAAAGGGTAAATATATATATATATATACATATCAGCTGAGAACATTAAATTTTAATCAATTAAGAGGTACGCGCCAAAGAAAAGTGTGCATACGGGGTAGAAATGAATGGGGGGGGGGGAATGATTTGTAGTGCAAATAGCTAGCAGTGGCTTAAGTTGCCACACATCCTTAGCTGCTTTAACAATTTGAAAAGGGATGCTTTTTGTAGTTTGTCCTATGGAACAAAACATAAGTCAAACAATCCATGCAGTTAAAAGCAACTCTCATAAATACATCAAAACTTATATTTTTAATTTTTACATAGATTTCATCAGCCCAAGCGTTAATCTTTCCTGGATTAGGTTAAAAATATGAGAAATGGAGTCATTCATTACTACTGGTAGGTTTCAGAAAGATTTCTGCTATGAAAGAAAGTAGCCTGAATAATTAATGCTGCTTGCTGGATCAGATGAAGGCCCAATAGTCTACTGTCTTCTGGAATCAACTAATGCTTCCATCAAGCTATCCCCTATATGCTTTCAATATGATTTTCAAGGACAAGTTGTTTTGTGGCTAAGGAGATTCTGGTTGTGTTTACTACAAGTTAAATCAGTAGATTCACTGAATTTGTCATGAATGATGGGATTCATACAACCCAGTAGATCATGTTTTACAAATGGAAAAGTAGATCATGTTTTACACCTGGAAAAGCCATACCTGACTACCCTATTTGCTCTCCAAGACCTTAAACAAGAGTATCTCCTAGTTATAGTCGCTTTGATTTTTAAACGAACATGCTAGGAGCCAAATTTTAAAAGGGACACACATGTAATCTACTTCAAGAAATAGACACACCATGCCTCTTGAAAAAACTTGTGGAGAGTACTATGTAATCAGTGTTTTCAAAAGTTAGCAAGTACTCCCACAAACCTACAAACAAGAATTTCAATTTAGAAAACATGCCAATCA